GGGCGAAATGTTTGGAGCGATTCGTTTGTTGGGCAGCGTCTGGAGAGCTCTTGTTCGACGGGTGGAGTGGGGGTGAGTGGTGTTTCTACGAGTTCGCGATGAATCACGACGGGGGAGTAGAAACCGATGAGAACTCGCGGGAGTGATCCGAGTTAATATTTCCCACAATAGAAAAGTTTTGTGAGGATTTTAATGTAATAATAATTTATTGCGATTTCAAACGTTTTGGATTATTTTTTACTGAGAAACGAATAAGGTTGATTTTGCATTATTATTCCGTATTTTTGTTCACATGTCTATTTTTACAATTAAAAGTTATTTACATTTGAAACAGTTCTGATATCTTGGGATTGCACAGGGCTTGTACTTGTAAACATTCACTGGCACGAAATTTGTTTTCACTCCTCCATAAAACTTTCTACTTCGTTCGCAGTTTCAACAAACTTTGCACAGAGTGGGTCGTTTATATTGTCGTTAAAATTAACCCTAAATTTAGTCGCCTGTAGAATTATGTTTCGCACATCAATATTTTCTTAAATAAATTATTTCTAATAATTGGAGATGCTTCCTTTTGTGAGTAGCCGAATTTCAAACATTCCAGATTGTGAATTCGTTACAAAATACTTTAATTAAAATAAACCACGAAGAACTTCTATTAAAATAATTTTATCATAACTACATGAAAAAACATAATAATATAAGATCATAAAACTGTCATCAATGTAAAACTGGAAATTGAAAATTGAAAATCAAAACAAAATTACACGTATAAGGAACGAAAGAACGCGGACAAGATAAGAAAATATTGATGTACAATACGGTAGCAAAAATATGCACGAAGTAGAGTAGACATTGATATTTCCAAAGAATGAATCTGAAGCTTTTTAATAAAATAATATCACATTCTGGAAACAACTCACATTGATATTCACCGACGGCCTGTACCAAACTTCTTGCTTTCTGAAAAAAAAACGTGAATCCATTATTGCATTTCTGTTCGAATCCTCTCTGACAATGAACAGGGTCCTGCAGGACGGGCGCGTTATAAAAAACCTTCCCCGGGCCCTCTGGCCTTCTGGCCGTCTAGTCCCCCGCCTCGTGACTTATGCCCCTCATTTCGCAGCAACAGCCTCTGACTGACAGGCGCGTTGGGCCCCGCGAGGCACAATGGCCGCGTCGCCAGCCACCTCCGCCTTCGCTTCCGACGCCGCCCCTTCCTCACCACCACCACCACCACCACCACCACGGCCTTCGCACAATGGCCCGCATTCGGACAAATAGCGGTTAAAAATATATTCCTTCAATAAAGCTAGGCGTCCACAGCTAAGCATTGGTTGATGACCCTGCTTCGCGCCGATAGTAAATTGGTCACCGCTGCTACCTACTTGATTCTTCGCACAACGGAGAAAAAATGCATCGGGGAAGAATTACAGACGACACAAGCCGTGAAACGAAACTCAGAGCTTAGTGGGTCGGGATTAATCTCGACAAATGCGGATGCTTAGCTGAATCGAAGCCGGCCATTGGTGGACAAGAATTTGGTGGGTTGTTCTGACCGATCATTTTCGTGATTTTCTTCAACCAAATTGTAGCAGACACCTGAGGTTAAAGAACAGGAAATTAGCCGCTTTTTTC